CATTGTTTTTTTGCTTCAGAGTATGAAACATGAACTCCCTTCTGGATGACTAGAATGTGACTGGTTTGGTCACTGGATTTTGCCTAAACATATGATCCTTTCAAACTGAACTGAGCAATCAGCGATTGTGAATTGGAGGACTTAAGGAGTTGTACCTTGTGCTTCTGTCCTCTTCCTTCCCTCTTGCATCATTTGCCCATTGAATTCCGACTTTCTGCAGTGTTGGTTGATTTATGTGCTGCTTCTGGGTGAGGGTCTAATTAGCAGATGATGGGATTATGATTTCAGTAGGAGACATGCCATAAAGCAGATGAAAGGCCTGGTACAACATCGCGTTTCAGGGGGATGTAGAGAGTGGTATACCTTGTGAACAGTGGGAACAACATCAGAAACTGTCAGACTAGGAAGTGAAACAGTCATGAAAAGAGTCAGTGAAAGGAGAACTGAATCTATACCTGCATTACTAAAATGGCTAGGTAGGATGCTCTCACGTCCTTTCCGGTCTGGACTGCACAACTTCATGCCATTTGTCCTTGTCTTCACAGCTACGCTGCTGGCCTTGAGATCTCTTGCAGAGTTCAAGAAGAAAGCTGTGTGGACTAAAGCTTATGGGTGGTAGCTGCATGCCGTACCTTATCCAATGAAGAAAACTGTTCATATGTGAAAGTATAATATTACTAAGGCATCAAGAAGAAGAATTTTCGAGAGGTTTCCTATCAGAAGATTTTGGATTTTTTTTTTTTCTTTTGTCTTGTCCCAGGGACTCCTAAGATTAAAAACAGTATTTTGTTTTACACTGTTGGGGTGTTGTTCTTTTACAAACTACCCAGCATGGTTTGAGCTGTGCTGAACCTAAATGAGAAATACACATTCAGTTGTTTCAGTTGAGTTGTTTCAGTGACGCCTGGGAACTTCAAAAGCTGGAGTGGATTATTGCTTTAACTCACGGAAGCTTTGTGGGAATAGTTACAAAAAACGATGAAATTTGTTTGGAGGTAGCCTGTTGACTAAAGTATGTTTTAGTGTAACATACTTCTGAATGAGCCTTATTCTTTAATGGATAACCCTTTTTTTTAACAGTTAGCACGATGTTATTGTGGAGTGGTGACAATACTTTGAAGGTATATAATGTGTCCAGGGTTTCTGAAAGGGGTGATATGCTTGTGGCTTTTACAGTGGTTTTATCAAGACCATTGAAACAAGTAATGATGCTAATGGCTGTCATGTCCCTTGCTCCAGGATGGTTGCAGCTTTCTTTTCACTTAGTGCAACTGTTCTTGTCTCCTTTGTCATCCTTTGCACGTAAGGAGAGTTTGTCTCTAGGCAAAAGGGGCAATACAGCAACTCTTTTCCACCTTTGCCATCTTAAATCATCGAATCACAGAATGGTTTGGGTTGGAAGGGACCTTAAAGACCATCTAGTTCCAACCCCCCTGCCATGGGCAGGGACACCTTCCACTAGACCAGGTTGCTCAAAGCCTCATCCAGCCTGGCCTTGAACACTTCCAGGGATGGGGCATCCACAACATCTCTGGGCTAAATAGATTAGCCCCTGCATTTTCCTTACTTAATACTCTTCTTCTGAATGGAGAACTTCTCCACTTTCGGTCTTGCTAAGACAGACATTAAAAGGGGAGTTTATTTAGCAATCCTTCTCAAAATTAACTCAAGAAAAATTAACTAGATGTGGTTGGGCACTGGTCCCTAATGTCTTCCAAAGCAGTACCAGTGAGAGCGTTGTTGATTCTGACAAGCTTGCATGGAATGTTATCATCCTGTATCTAGAAGCTGCACCCTGTTGCAGAAAAAGGCCTCTGCAAGAGGCTTTGCGAAGGGATCTGCGTAGCGTGGAGCTTTGGGCGGTCATTAATGGCATGAAATCTAACAAGAGCAAATGTCCAAATCGGCACCTGGGATGGAGTAATGCCGGGCACAAGTGCAAACCGGGAGAGGAGTGGCTGGAGATCAGCCCCGGGGGAAGGGACCTGGGGGTGCTGCTGACCTGAAGCTCCGTGTGACCAGCAGTGTGCCCGGGCAGCCAGGAGAGCAACCCACGGTGCATCACTCACCGCACGACCAGCTCCTGTGGGGAGCGGCTGGGGGTCTGGGTTTGTCCGGTGTGGGGAAGAGGCTGAGGGGCAGCTTCAGGGCTTTCTGCAGCTTCCTGGGGAGGGGACGTGGAGAAGGAGGTGCTGATCTCCTGGGATCCCATGGCAAGGTGCGTAGGAATGGCTCAAAGCTACGCCCAGGGAGATTGAGGCTGGACATCAGGAACCATTCCTTTACCGAGAGGGTGGTCAAACACGGGAACAGAGTCCCCAGGGAGGGGGTCGAGGGCCCAACCCTGTCGGGGACAATGCCCTCAGTAACTGGCTTTAACTTCTGGTCAGCCCTGGAGTGACCAGGCAGTCGGACCAGATGATCGTTCATCCTAGGTCTATTCTAAATACTCCACTGTACTCTGGAACTCTGTTCAGCCCACAAGACTAAACTAGAGCTGGTTTGGAGTAAAACCATCTGAAAGGCAGGTAAGTTGGCTGTTGGGTTCTTGTTGTGAGTCCTTTCACGCTGCAGTTCCATTTGATTGGGCTGCTGTACCTGCAAGGATACACATAGCCTGTGATGGAGACGCTGTTCCTTCTGTTGTGTGCTGGCACTGGAGAAATTAATACTTTTTTTTTCTAGGTGATCTCTTTCAAAATTGTGTGTTGCTCTGGAGGCAATGACTGTCTAGGACTAAGGTGGACAAGTTAGTTGCTACTGCATCTTAGGTGTGTGGGGAGGCAGCAAAGGAGGCTGGTGGTGAAGGTATTTGTAGAACAAGTTCTTGTGACTCCGGCATAGCTGTTCAGTTGGCAAACAGAAGGGGTAGAAAAAATGTATCTTTAGCTCTTACATATAATTTCTTTTCCACACTCTTATGAATTCAGTGTCAGGCTACATAAGCTGTACTAAAACAAGTGGTTTTTCAAATGTCAGACAGATGTAGCAGTCAGATGCCCTTCTGTTCCTAAAGAGACCATTTAACCACTTTCGATTATATATCACTTCCCTAGTGATAATTCTTCACGCTTGTCTAAACAGTACATTATTTTGCCTGTGTTTATGTAGATATGCAAGAACACTTATTTTGATTCCATTACTGGGTAAATGGAGATACAGATGAGCTGGGATTTCAAGACTAATCCAATTTTTGAACCAAGATTTGAGGTCCCAGAGGTGGAAAGACTCAGCCAACTCTTTAAGCACCTGTGCAGTCATGAGCTTTTCCTGAAATTGATCTAAGGCATTGAAGCTGAAGTTAGTGGCCTGCTGTGGTCACACTTGGAAGGCTGACTCCCTGGATCTCCCAATTGCTCCAAGTTACCTCTGCACCTGAAAGAGGTGGGCAAGTCTTCTGTCATTAACTTCATGGCTTCTTCTTGCAGTTTAGGCTTGTGGGTCCTCTCCATAGTGAATTTTAAAGAATCCTGCTCCTATTCCAGGCTTTTAGCCAGCTGTAAAAATCAATGCAAATCAATGCGTCACATCCTGATTTGATTTTTTTTTTTTTAACATAAAGCTATAAATGGGGCTTAGTATCTGTGGTAGGTTTGACCTTGGCTAGCTGCCAGAGGCACATTCAGCTGCTCCTCTCTCTACCTTAACAGCACAGGGTGAAAATAAGATGAGAAATCTCATGGGTCAAGATAAAGACAAGGAGATCATTTACTAGTTACTGTCACAAAGCCAGACTTGGGGATTAGTGATTTATTGCCATTTAAAAATACTGCAGAATGGTAAGAAACAAAGACAAAACTAAAAACACATTCCCCCATCACCACTCCTTTTGTCCTAGGGTCAATTCACTCCTTCATTCTTGACTTTTCTACCACTTCCCTCC